AATTATAATGGAATGAGGTATCGCAGCAGCTCAAAGTTTAAAAGCAACGTGTGAACGACAGATGCCTCCTGTAAAAACTTTCTATGAGGAATTAGTCTCCTATTTTTAATTAAACACGTGAAGAAAATTTCAAATTTTCACGCGCCAACTCGTTGCTCATGTATGAATCGATAATTAACTAGCACTGTTCATAGTTATATTTACTCAGAGAAACGAAAAACTGTCTAGTAATTACGCCATTCATAATGATTATATACAGTACAATCGTTGATTTAAAATATTTATTAAATTTCGAAAAATTATGTACTATTCAACTATTGTAGTTCAGAAATATTTCTAATAAGTATTAATGTTTTCAGCTCATAAAACCAATGAAAATGGACTTGCCACGTAGTTTTTTAGTTTCCTTCACGTATCTAACGCCCTGAATTGAGACCAATTTCCCGAAGAATGCTCTCGTAAATTATGAAATTTGTTAAAAACAAACATTAAAACTAAAAATAATTTATTAAAAAATATAGCAATTAAATTTCCAATTTATTTGACATTAAATAAAATTTACAAAAAAGTAGGAAAGAAAAGAAAAAAGTTTATATTTTTAACAAATTTATTAATTTGTTAAAAATATTTTAACAAATTAATAAATTTATGGCAATCCTGAAAATCTGATTTGTCAAAAAAAAAACGAACTAATATAATATTTAAAATAAAAAAAAACGAACTATACATAATATTTTCAAAATTACAATATACTGTACAATATTTGAAACCGTCGATCACTATATCCACGCAGGATGATTTTTTGTTGATATAACAGAATTAAAATTTATTCTGGCTATTTGTTTCATCACTTTCATACCTTACGTCTTAAATATCATTTTCTCCTAAAACCAAAGAAAACAAGGATCATAGGATAACAACAAACGGAATTATTTTGCAATCTCTTAATCTTCTAAGATTCTAACTAGTGTGAGAACCCGCGACTTCTCACACTAGAAATATTTCTTCACCATGGCCAATATCCGTAATTCCGACTCGATTTTTAATTTTATTGAATCAGTTATTTCACAAAAAATACCTTTTATTTTTTGTGGAAACATGCTTAGTAAGCATTTTCTGTAGTACAAGATCTCAAACGATTCCAGATTTTAACCTCGGTGAAATAGCACTTTTCTTAAAAATAATGCCTTTTTTCATTAACCTGAACTTTATTCTATGTAGTCTTTTACTTCAACAAACTTATTTACACCTTAAACATTCTGACGTAGACTAATACGTTAATATCTTCGTATTTCTATATAAAAGCATCAGCCGCACGAAGATGATAGCCATGACAAAAATGTAATTTTTTAACTTCTCGTATAGCATGAATTCTCTTGAAATCCTGCGATATTTCAAAATGTTTGATCTAGGAAGTTCTGAAATGTATAGCAAAATACAAGCGAATACACTAAAACAAGACATTGTATCTGTTTTTCGAAATTTTATAACCATGGAACTTTCCCTTTAGCTCCATCATGGAATCAAAGAAAGTTTCCACAGCCAGAAGCATTCGAATGCGATGCTAAATGCTATGTTATACGTTCATTTATATTTACATTAGATTTTTCTATTTATTTTATATTAGTTTCTTATTGTTTTTACTATTAAACACAATATTTATTCTCTATAAAATTGTGTTTTTGTATTTATTTTGGAGCGTCTAAAACGAATTAATTGGATTTACATTGATTCATATGAAATTTTGCTTCGGTTTTCGTCGGTTTCGGATTTCGCCGATTGTTTTCGGACGGATTATCGACGAAAACCTAGGGATCACTGTAGCAGATAGTTTAGATGTTGCGTTGCCATATTCCATCTAGCCAATCGCATTCTTAAAAAGTAAAAACAGTTNGATTGGAGCCAAGATTGGAGCCATACTAGCGGAAACAATCGTTTTTTTAAGTCAGTGTGAAGCAGACCTTCTATTAATTTAATTAAATTAATTAATTTAATTTCACATTTCCAGTAATAGTAGATATCGTTTTTAAGCAACGTCCATTTTGATTAATGTTGTATTTTAAAAATTTCAACGATACTTCATTATTATCTATTTAAGTTATAAAATTTATACCATTTAAAGTTCAAAGAAATATCATGAAATTAATTATTGCAATCACATTTTTAAGACTATTAAATTAGACATTACTTGTGTGTGTACCTTTATTGCAAAAAGTTTTAATTATACGAAATTTAAGTAGAGTTTCGATTATTGTTCCAATAATAACCCATGTGACAAAGAGACTAATGGCAATTCTGAAAATACAAAATGAAATTTTTATTAGTAATATAAACAACTATTTCTATAATAGTCTAATTTATTTGATTAATAAATACCGTCTTTCCTAAATCGAGTGCGAATATTCAAATTTTTTTTTCTTAATTTAAAATAAAAAACTATCTTAAATTATAATGGAATGAGGTATCGCAGCAGCTCAAAGTTTAAAAGCAACGTGTGAACGACAGATGCCTCCTGTAAAAACTTTCTATGAGGAATTAGTCTCCTATTTTTAATTAAACACGTGAAGAAAATTTCAAATTTTCACGCGCCAACTCGTTGCTCATGTATGAATCGATAATTAACTAGCACTGTTCATAGTTATATTTACTCAGAGAAACGAAAAACTGTCTAGTAATTACGCCATTCATAATGATTATATACAGTACAATCGTTGATTTAAAATATTTATTAAATTTCGAAAAATTATGTACTATTCAACTATTGTAGTTCAGAAATATTTCTAATAAGTATTAATGTTTTCAGCTCATAAAACCAATGAAAATGGACTTGCCACGTAGTTTTTTAGTTTCCTTCACGTATCTAACGCCCTGAATTGAGACCAATTTCCCGAAGAATGCTCTCGTAAATTATGAAATTTGTTAAAAACAAACATTAAAACTAAAAATAATTTATTAAAAAATATAGCAATTAAATTTCCAATTTATTTGACATTAAATAAAATTTACAAAAAAGTAGGAAAGAAAAGAAAAAAGTTTATATTTTTAACAAATTTATTAATTTGTTAAAAATATTTTAACAAATTAATAAATTTATGGCAATCCTGAAAATCTGATTTGTCAAAAAAAAACGAACTGGCTATACATAATATTTTCAAAATTACAATATACTGTACAATATTTGAAACCGTCGATCACTATATCCACGCAGGATGATTTTTTGTTGATATAACAGAATTAAAATTTATTCTGGATATTTGTTTCATCACTTTCATACCTTACGTCTTAAATATCATTTTCTCCTAAAACCAAAGAAAACAAGGATCATAGGATAACAACAAACGGAATTATTTTGCAATCTCTTAATCTTCTAAGATTCTAACTAGTGTGAGAACCCGCGACTTCTCACACTAGAAATATTTCTTCACCATGGCCAATATCCGTAATTCCGACTCGATTTTTAATTTTATTGAATCAGTTATTTCACAAAAAATACCTTTTATTTTTTGTGGAAACATGCTTAGTAAGCATTTTCTGTAGTACAAGATCTCAAACGATTCCAGATTTTAACCTCGGTGAAATAGCACTTTTCTTAAAAATAATGCCTTTTTTCATTAACCTGAACTTTATTCTATGTAGTCTTTTACTTCAACAAACTTATTTACACCTTAAACATTCTGACGTAGACTAATACGTTAATATCTTCGTATTTCTATATAAAAGCATCAGCCGCACGAAGATGATAGCCATGACAAAAATGTAATTTTTTAACTTCTCGTATAGCATGAATTCTCTTGAAATCCTGCGATATTTCAAAATGTTTGATCTAGGAAGTTCTGAAATGTATAGCAAAATACAAGCGAATACACCAAAACAAGACATTGTATCTGTTTTTCGAAATTTTATAACCATGGAACTTTCCCTTTAGCTCCATCATGGAATCAAAGAAAGTTTCCACAGCCAGAAGCATTCGAATGCGATGCTAAATGCTATGTTATACGTTCATTTATATTTACATTAGATTTTTCTATTTATTTTATATTAGTTTCTTATTGTTTTTACTATTAAACACAATATTTATTCTCTATAAAATTGTGTTTTTGTATTTATTTTGGAGCGTCTAAAACGAATTAATTGGATTTACATTGATTCATATGAAATTTTGCTTCGGTTTTCGTCGGTTTCGGATTTCGCCGATTGTTTTCGGACGGATTATCGACGAAAACCTAGGGATCACTGTAGCAGATAGTTTAGATGTTGCGTTGCCATATTCCATCTAGCCAATCGCATTCTTAAAAAGTAAAAACAGTTTGCAAACTCGTCTTCTATATGTTGAAATTATTTATTTATATATTTTACATATCATTGGAATTGTCGCAGGACAAAAGATTTTTACTCCCTATTAACATAATTTACCCGAAAATACGATAAAATTCAAACAAAAACAATAAAAATAAAAACAATGTATAAAATAATAAAAGCAAAAATCTATATACAGTATATATAAGATACAAAGAACTAGATCATAAATTAACGTAATACTTACTTTACAATTACTACCTTAATAGTAGATTAATTTATAAATATTCAAATGAAATCATAATGTAATTAGTTAATTATTTATAGAATATTGATATACACGTAACTCTAGCATAACGCTGTACTTATACAACGATAGTTCAGTATAACAGTTCATATGAACTTATCTGTTCATTTTATTTCATTGAATGTTTTACTTCAGTTACAGCAACAAACTTTGTTAATGTGAAGTATGCATTTTCCTTCTATATGGTCAAAGATTTTTATTTTTCCTCGCAATCTTGTTAGAAAGTTGCTAACAACAAATAGTATATGTAATTTTATTCACTTGAAATTACCTTTGGCATTTTGTGCACCAGCAACCTTGTCAAGCACAGGAGTGCTTGATGTTTGCAGAAAGCATAGGGACTATCTACGTTACAAGCTGCTTATAATTTAGATTTTTTTCTTCACATGCATTGTGTAAATATAATTTAATTAAGTAGCAAGTGAGGACAATTTTGTTAAAGTCTTAAGTGCATATCAATCGTGTGTGATCAAAATTGTAATATATAAATTTAATTTTTACAATCGAAAAAATTGCTTCATTGTACATTTTTCAGATAAAATATTTTTATAGTAATGACTAGAAAACAAAAGGTAGAAAACCACACACACAAAAGAATTTATTTATTTAGAAGGAAAAGTCACAATAACTTCAAGACTCGTTGCAAAGACCTTGAATTTAAACGAATGAACAATTTTTTCAATCAAACAAAATGAACAAAATATAATACAAAGCTTTTGTAACAGGTGATGCGGTGTTTTATTATATAAATTGGAAAAGTCTGTAATAATCCAGATAGAAGACTACAACCAGAAAAATTCCGTTGGACAGAAATAAAAGAAATATCTTTTAAAATCTCTACACACTTGAAAGAACTTAGACAAGCATCGTCTAAAGAATACAGTTACTCCTGAATTTTTTGCTAATGAAGGATGCTTCAAAAATGTATATTTAAATGTACAGTTTTGGAACGTAAACACACTTTACATTTCTAAGGTAATCTCGCATATCGCGATCTTTATAACGCGATATATTTGAGTAACTTATGTACAGCGTTATACCAGAGTTACCTCTATTTATTTCTATAAAATATCTAATAAATATCTCAGTTGGTGCATTTCGTAATTAGTCATAATAATGAAACATTGCAAGCACTTACATACAAATTGTTTGGGTTGTAGAAAAGAAAATCTTCTGGTCTTTCACTCTGCAAAAGTTTACTTCTGCCGTGTAAAGATCTCTAAATGCTAAAACACATAATTAATCACATAAATTGTAAAAATGATCAGATAATTGCGAATAATTTTTTTATTTGAAATGAAATAAGTATGGTATTTTGCAGTTAAATATTACGTACCATATCGTGTATAAATTTTAAAAACAATTCATACAGAACATTGGCAAAATACTGTTTGCTTGAAATATTAGCTTATGCATACCATCATTTCATAAAAAACTATATATAAACAGAATACTTTAAATTAATATTATCACATTTAGAGCAGCATTGTATAAATTAAACAATGTCAGTACGCATCATACACTGGTATGCTTCAAATTTCGAAATGTGAGTCGACCTCATGTTTCACAAACGTTCAGTAAATTAGTATTATTCAATGTTAATTAATGTCAACGTATATATTATCTTAACGTATAAGAAGGTAAATTTCTAAAGTGTGTGTTAATGATGACATGAACGACAAATCATAATAATTTAAGTATATTAATTAATAATGGCATGATAAAATTATTTAATCGTTGCTAATACACATACATTTTATTGCTGTTTTATACATTATATTCGATTTATACTCTGCCTTCGCATGCCACCTATTTACAACTTATTCATTGCCATACAAACATCTTCATCTATACTAATATTATTAAAAGGTAATGTTTGTAAGTATGTATGTATGTATGTAAGTTTGTTTGCAGCAGGTAATTTCCGAAACTACTCATCCGATTTCAAAAATTCTTTCACCAATATTTAGAATGGAACCTTAGGGTGTACATAGGCTGTATATTATTCCGTTAAACATTCATATAAATTAAAATATATAATCTAGGTTAAGGCTTTGTGTCCAACAGATGGCGCTACGAGTACGATGCCCTAAGTTTGCTTCTCTGTGAGGCATTATGCTTTTCTGTGAAAATGAACTAAAGCAGATCATCTTCTATCTATCTGTATAAATAAAAATGTAATGTTCGTTTGTTCCTACCGATTCCTTTGAAATTTTGACGCAACGCTGCATTCGAATACGCACGTGTTTTTATATAATATAGGTGTCGAAATTCCCCCCACTGAAGGAAGATGAAAAATTAAGGCTTACCGTAAACAACTCTGCTTCTATTTATACTATTTTAGATGCGGTTTTAATAGGGTACGTGAACAGAATGTACACTAAGAAGAAATTTTTCGAAAATTTCCCCCCCACGGGGAAGTGTTATAAATTTATAACAGATACATTTTGAGCCACAACAACGCGTGGCGGGATCTGCTAGTTTGTAATATACATGGAAACGTTTTCAAGCGGTGTTTCTGCTGTATTTTGAAGAAAAAAATTGTTTTTAATATAAATGCAATTTTATACCCAAAAATTCGTTTAACTGTTTAATATTTCGTAAATATTTCAAATGAGTAATTACCTTTTATATAAAATTAAGCATTTTACTGTAACTATAGAGTATGCTGCAAGTCCGGAATAAAAACTTAAAGCTTCGTCTACAGCTGAATAATAATTAACACTATAATCGATTTCAATAAATAAAATCATTTCGAAAAGAATTTTAATTGCGAACGTTTTATTACTTCTTATTGTAATTGGAGTCGATGGCTTCTTCTTCTTATCCGTTTTGTTGTGTCTGACTCTCGGTCACTCTATGGATCAAAGCCCTCCATGGCTCTCTATCCTGCACAGCCTCCTTTAATTCCGTTATAGATAATGCAGTGTCACTTTTGATTGTGTCAAACCACAGAGTCCTTGTTCGCCCTCGTGCTCTTTTCTTGTTAACCATCCCCAACATGACTGCATTCTCAAGAGAGCTGGTTCTCATTATATGACCAAAAAAGGACAGTTTCTGTTTTGTTATCTGGGCTTCCAGTGAGACTTTCGTTTGGACTCTGTTGGAACAGTTTTGTTGGCGATTCATGCTGTCCATGGAATGCTCAAAAGCCGTTTCCAACACCACAGTTCGAAAGCATCTATTTTCCTTCTGTCCGTTTTCTATAGAGTCCAAGTTTCATATCCGTATGTGACAATAGGAAAAATAATCGCGCTAACTAATCTGCATTTAATTTGTTGTAGATGTTTTTGCTCTTCCAGAAGCTGTTCATGCTGATCATCAAGGTTAATGTAAGGGCTATAAGGGCTATTCGTCTTCTGATTTCAGGACTGCAATCTCCATTACGGTTGATTTTGAACACGAGGAATATGATATCTTCCATTACTTCGATTTCTTCACCATTGATCACTATTTTGACTTCCGTATTCCGTGCATTAGTTATTATTTTGGTCTTCTTAAAGTTAAGAAGTAGCCCTACCTTTGCACTTTCGTGCTTGACTCTCAGAAGCAGCTGCTAAGATCTTCCTTACTTTCCACGAGCAGCATTGTATCATCCGCATATCGGAGATTATTGATGTTCCTGCTTCCAGTTTTCACTCCAATCTTAGACTCATTTAAATCTGCTTTTCTCATCGCCATCTCTACATACAGATTGAATAGTGATTGTGAAAGAATACAGCCCTGGCGGGTACCTCTTCTGATCTCGAACAAGTCTGTACCACTATATTCTTATAGTGGCTTCTTGTCCAGTATATACGATCGTATTAGCTGGGTGAAATGTGGTGAGATTTCCGTTTCCTTGGGGCACTTCCACAGTTTGTCATGATCAATACAATCGAAAGCCTTTGAGTAATCAATGAAGCACATGTATTTCCTTTTTGGTATTCTTTCGCTGTTTCCATCATCCAACGAAGATTAGCGATATGATCAGTGTTTCTCTTCCTTTTCGTAAACCTGCCTGTATATCTGGCATCTCTCTGTCTATGGTTTACAGTCTATGGTAGCACAGTACATACGCTGTTGAATGATCTTCAGTAGAATCTTAATAGCTTGTAAAATCAGAGCAATGATGCGATAGTTGAAGCAATCCTTTTTATCGCCCTTTTTTGGTATGGGAATATAAATAAATATTTTCTAATTCTTTGGCCATTGGCCATTCTTCCACACACTACGGCACAGTGCTGTCAAAGCTTTTAATGGTAAGGGTTTCGGTAACTATGTTGATATTCCATCGACTTCTGGGGCTTTGTGGCTAGCCAGCTGTTCGGGTGCCCATGCCACCGCGTCTTCTAAGATGTCTGGCTCCAGCATTGTCAGTTCTTCCTCTTCAATACCTTGGGTATCAACTTTCGTTTCACTGGCGTAAAGTTGTTCTGTATATTCCTTTCATATTTCTTTGATTGCGTGTTGATCATGTAATTCACGATCATTTGGCCATTGATCTGCGAAAAATGGTGTTCGGGCTTTTTTTACATAAGCGACGCATTGTCTAATGAGGATTTTCTGCGTTGCTGCTTCCATTTTCTTGCACTGTTCTTCCCAGAATTTTCCTTTATCTTTCCTGGCCTTTTTTCGAACTTTGCGTCTAATATTCGCATTTCTTCTCGGTTACCAATAATTTTTGCCTTTCTTCGTTGTTCTGATACTACTATCGTAGTTTCTGACATCCATTTCGCCGATTTTGTCTTTTTCATGTATGGAATGAGTTGATTCGCTACATCATTGATATGTACTTTTATATCTTTCCATAGTTCTTTTGGTTCTTTTTCTGCGAAATTGAGCGAGTCAAATATATTCTTAGTTTCTACATCATAGACATCAGGAATCATTTCGACGTCAAATTTTGGCGTCGCTGATGGTCGGTTGACATTATAAAACCTTAGTTTCAATTTGGCAACGAGCAGGTCATAATCCGTTCCGCAATCGGCGCCAGGATACGTTTTCGCAGATAAAACGGAACTCTTCCCTTTTTCCTGGCAAAGGAAAAAGGGAAGAGTTCAATCTGGTTACGATATTTTCTATTGGCGAAGTCCATGTATATAATCGCCGCCTTGGCTGTATTCATCACGATCATCTGCTATTCTTGGCAGAACTGAATCTGTCGTTCACCTGACTCGTTTCGTTTTCCAAGTCCAAATTTTCCACAATGCATGATTCTTCCATTTCACCTACTTTCGGGTTGAAATCTCCAATGACATAGACAACATCTTTTGTTGGTGTCTGACGCAGTACTTCTTAGAGTTCATTGTAGAAAGCCTCAGTTACTTCTTCTGAATTAGCAGTGGACGCATAAGGGTCGTAAAATTGCCAGGTTTCTCTTTGATACGAATTGCTATGATTCTGTCGTCAATAGTTCGAAAGCTTTCTATGGTGAGACTGATCTTCTTGTGCAGAACGAAACCTACTCTTCTTCGCCGGATGGTATTATTTCCGGTGTAGTAGATGATGTAATCATCGGAATTAAAGAATCCGCTTCCAGTCCAGTAAACTTCACTGATGCGTATAACATCTTGAACCGATTCATTTCATTTGTTGATGATGTTCAACTTTCCTACGTATAACCCGTTCACGTTTCAAGTTCCAATTTTAAATACTTTAGTACAGCGCAAAGTTTTCTTTTCACTACGAGCTACATCAGCACTCAGGTGTCCTTTAGGATTTAGCCTGATCGCATCATCACTGCTTTCGCTACTATTAACAACTGGCAACTAGATTGGGACGAGATCCCACAACAACACATAACAAGACGTTTTATCCCAAAGGTCAAGGAACGCGTTAACAGCAAATGGATTCAACCCACACATAATTTAGCCCAATTTTGACAGAACACGGGCGCATTCGTGTTTATCTGAAAAAGTTTCACCACTCTAATTCTGACTGCTGTCAGCTGTGTGGGGTGCAGGACGGTGTCATGCACTATTTATACAACTGTCCTATGCTGGATGACATTAGGTATCAGTTCATGCAGCATGCCAATATGAACAATATTGACTGGCCAGTAAAACCTGATTTTTTCTTACAAAACAACAATAATTTTAACTTGTTAAAGGAATTTGTTTCACTCTACTCTATTAGATGTGGGATCCGTTGACCTGATCTCTTGTGATCTGATTCACTCTAGCCTTGATGCCAATGTATATACANCCGAAAATTATCTAAGAAACTGTTCTATTGTTTTACATCA